AAACCGCCTTGGTGTTATTCCAAGTTGATCATCACGGGACTCTGAAATTAAATTGCTCTTCATTGCATTTTGATCCCTTATTGGAATCGGACTGGTTTTGAGGAAGTTCATTATTTTGTTGCCTGGTGTAAGTAAATAATAGTAATAAAAATTCTTGCCAAGTAACTCACAAAGGCATGCTAGAAAGGGGCTCTCCCTTCAAAGCTACTGTAAATACATTGATATTTTTTCATTTTGGATATGATGTGTCAGAAGTAGATTCTGAAAAGAGCTACTCTGTGGAACATTCCTCTTGGGATAAAGCAACATTACTGAACAGTCATCAGCAATTTGAAAATGGGCCTTTGTGAAGTGAGATCTTAGTTAAAGCTACTGATGAACAGGCAACCAGCACAACCCAACGGTGTGGTTAGCAGAGGGAATGTTCTCTTGTTTCTCTGAAGCAAGATTCCGGACAATCAAACAATGGAAGGGTGTAAGAAAAGGAAATATTAAATATTTTCTGGGTTTTGTTTTGTGTTTTGTTTTTTTATTTTACTGACTTGAATGAATATTATCTGCAAGATATATTACTATTGTGTTGTTATTTTCAAATGGTTGCCTGGGACATGGTGTTTTTATTTATTTTATATACATATTTTTTTTATTGATTTCAGAGAGGAAGTGAATGGGAGAGAGAGATAGAAACATCAATGATGAGAGAATCATCGATCAGCTGCCTCCTGCATGCCCCATACCGGGGATTGAGCCCACAACCCAGGCATGTGCCCTTGACCAGAATCAAACCCGGGACCCTTCTGTCCGCAGGCTGACACTCTATCCACTCAGCCAAACCAGCCAGGGCCAGTGTTTTTATTTTTAAATCATTGCCCGGGACATATAAAATGTTACCTGAATAGGTAGTCAGATTTTAGCAAATTAGAATACAGAATTTCCAGTTAAATTCATTTCAGATAAAAAATGTTGCCCTAACCGGTTTGGCTCAGTGGATAGAGAGTTGTCCTGCAGACTAAAGGGTCCCAGGTTCGATTCTGGTCAAGGCATGTACCTTGGTTGCGGGCACATCCCCAATGGGGGGTGTGCAGGAGGCAGCTGATCGATGTTTCTCTCTCATCGATGTTTCTGACTCTCTATCCCTCTCCCTTCCTCTCTGTAAAAAATCAATAAAATATATTTTTAAAAAATGTTTATGTACTTCCTATCGCAATATGTCTCATCTATAATAATAAAAGCATAATATGCTAATTAGACCAGACATCCTTCCGGGTGTCCTTCCGGACGAAGCCAGAGCTGCAAGGGAATCCCAGGTCCCGGGTGCCAGAGGGAAGCCGGTGCCAGCAGCCAGGGGAAGGAAGGCCTACCCTTGCACGAATTTTGTGTATCGGGCCTCTAGTACAGTATATAAGACATACTTATACTAAAAAATTATTCAGTATCTGAAAATCAAATTTAACTGGGTACTTTATAATATATCTTGCAACCATGTTCTTATAGTTTATTAAAAATTGTATTTAGTTGACATGTAGAACTGAAATTTCAACATGAACTCATTGTTGTTTTCTCCGTTCTTAAATACCAGCATTTCTTGTCTATTTGCATTGTGCTGCTATTTCCTTACCCATCTCACTGTGCTTTTAGGTGCACAATTTAAAAATATATTTTAGTTTTATTTTGGGTTCTAAAGAAGACAGATTTTTAGAAATCTAATTCAATTTTGTGCTTTTTTTATTTTAAATGCTCACTTGAGGGTATGTCTTTATTGATGAGGGAGGGAGGGAGGGAGGGAGGGAGGGAAAGAGAGAGAGAGAGAGAGAGAGAGAGAGAGAGAGAGAGAGACATCGATGTGAGAAAGAAACATAGAATGGGAGGGAGGGAAGGCAAGAGAGAGAGAGAGAGAGAGATGTGAGAAAGAAACATAGAACAGTTGCCTCCCGTACACTCCCAGACCAGGGATGGAACCTGTAACCTAGTATGTGCCCTGCTCTGGAATTAAACCCACTTTTGGTCTATGAGACTATCATACACCAAACTGGCCAGAGCCAATTTTATCCTTTTTTATTAAATGCATCTAAATGTTCTTATTAGCTGCATCCAAATATTTCCATTTTATTTTTTCCTTTAATGTTCTGCTCATGTTTCAATTAGCTTATAACTATACCTCAGGGTCCTCAACTTTTGTTGTCTTAAGAATCAGGATTAATGTCTTTATATTTGTATACACACCAATCGATGATCAGTATGGAAAACATGGGCCACTATAAAGAAGTTTAGAAGTAGGGGAAACAAAGGCCAGAAATAAACTAAAACATAAAAGAGCTATTATTTTTTTTGTTTTTAAAAACTCTTTTTCTCTGAACTTAGTTTTATAAAGAGACTGTTAGCTCTGAAAGGCTTAAGAAGAAGATAACTAGATCCCTCTTCCTGTTTCCTATGAAGATGGGTGGTGAGGAGCCCAAAAATAATTGTCTCAACAAACCAAGCCGATCTTGCTTCTGTGACCTATCTGCAACCAGAATGATTTCAGAAAAAGAAAAACTGCAGAAATAAGGATTTAAAATTTTTTATTTTGTTTAGGAGATTTTAATGTTGATTGGAATATACTCCTAGAGGAGCCATCCCTACAAAAATTATTGCACATTTATAATATATAATAGTTTGACCCACACTATTACAGTATTTCTGTAGCTCTTCCAATGAAGTTGAGCAGAAAATTGGAGTTTAATCATGTAGAAAACTTGACCTTCTGGCTTAATAAGGCCAAATTGAGTATATCCGAAATAGATGTTTTCTATTCATCATAATTTAAATGTTTATAGCATGACTGATGCTTCTCCAGAGAAACACGAAGGATCACATAAGTTATTTATATTGTATAAATTGTATCTATTCTGATACAATTTCTTACTACCTAAAATTACTTGCTCCATAGCAAGCAGCTTTTTTTTTTTTGACAATGACTCAGAAAAAAGCCTCTTCGGCACAACTCAGCATTAGAAGGGCTCCAAAAACTGCCATAATGGGCGCGGTGAAGGAGTCCTGGGTCATGCCAATGGCGTGAGGTTAGATGGAATGAAACAGCCTTAAAAGGACTGGAAACCAAAGTGCCTATGATGACAGCTGGTCAAATTAAACCTCCCTCTCTCCTCGTCTGATCTTAACCAGTGTCCCTTTAGCCCATTTTAGTTCTGCTAACCCCTGACTGCTTAAGGAGGGCTCAGATGATTACACATATTCTGTAGAAGAAATAATCATCTTTTAAGATAATGTCCTAAGTGGAGATGAGAGCTCCATAATAGAGGAACCATTTTCAATACATCTATATCAAAGTCTAAGAAACTCCCAGCCCAGAACAAATGTAAAATAGTAACACTCAAAACCTGTCGGGCCCTCCAGGGAGGTCATAACACAAAGAAAGTAGAAGAAATAATTGAATGTTTTGGCATTGTGAGGATGTATAAATGGTGTCATTTCTCAAAAGAACCGTTACTGGCAATTCCATGAAACAGCAAATAAATGTTATCCTTTGCAGAAAATAATGTGTAATTGTCCAATAAATTACAAAACTTTTCACTTTATAGTTAGTAGTCAAATTGCTTTAATTGTCATTTTATAGAATGAATCAAAGGTGATTAATGTACTTATTTATCTATAATTTTTACTCTAAGATATTACCAAAAAGGATGTGATTAAATCCTTGTAATTAAATTAATCAAACTAGACTTTGAACAGAATTTTTTTTTTCATTAGTTGGAAAGAGAGGTAAGAACATACAGAGTATGTGAGAAAGTGAACTAATTCTACCAATCTCCTTAGTAAGATGGCTATTACACTTTAATTTTAAATTTAACTCTGGCCTTGGCCAGGTAGCTGAGTTGGTTGGAGCATCATCCCATACACTTAAAGGATGCTGCTTCAATTGCCAGTCAGGGCATATACCTAGTTGTGGGTTTGATCCCCAGTAGGGTGAGTAGGAGAGGCAATCAATTGATGTTTTTCTCTCACATCAATGTTCTTCTCTCTCCCTTCCTCTCTCTCTAAAATTAATAAAAACATATCCTCAGGTAAGGATTGAAAATAAATAAATAAATAAATAAATCCAAGGAAAGCTAAGAGACATGGTGGATTATTAACTTTCACTCTTTTCATAAAATGAAGCATAAGTTCTTCACAATAGTGCATTGAGATGCAATTAGCAGTATTTATGTATTGCCTGCATTGGATTGCTTCTGCATCTAGATAATTACATGTTCAGATTTCTGTAGGCATTTCCTATAAATGGGTTATAGTTTTCAAATATTCCCATTTTGTACCATTCCAAGTTTTATGATAACATACTATATGTACGTGACATAGTTTCAGTATTTCATTTATTATTGGGCATTTTATCATTTGCCACCTAACATTACAGTGAGTGAACTTGTTGAAAGAAGGAAGATATGATATGAAAAGAAAGTACTTTTGTACACTAGATTATGTTTTGGCTTGCTAGGGCCAATATATAGCAGCCTTCTCCACCACTACTTCCATTATGTTTTTACTACCATTTTTTTAAACTAATACCATATGATAAAATAATAATGAAGGAAAAAAGAAAAGGGAATTAATCTGTCCTTTACTTTTAATTACCTTAATGGTCATTTGGATCACAGAGTCAGTCCAATTGCCATACAATTTGTGGTAATAGAAAGGACTCAATAAGTTGGAAAAAAAAAGATGGCTTTGATGTTACATGGCTGAGTCAATTAACAAACACTTAGAGCTGCTTCTTCATGCAGAACATTGTGCTCACACTAAGGTGTTAGGATAATAAAACAGATATCTGCTCTAGAGAAGATCTCAGTGGGAGAACAGTCAGTCCTATAAAAGTTAGAATTTTTTGTGGTTATTATTGTTTGCTGTTAACTAATTTAAAGTGACTCACAGTTATTTTAATATCATGCCACCCATAAGTGGTAGTAGGGTATATTTTCAAAGTTCAAATATTGTTTTCTTTATTACAGGTTTCTTTTCTCCATGGAAATCTCCAAAGCCTGTAAGTTGGAATTATTATGCTTCTTCCTTTACTTCTAGTTATTATTATAATCCCATTAAGCAAGAGTTGGTGATTGGGTGACCTCAAAATCGCTTCGACTTCAGAGATTCTGTGATGTCAAAACAAATCTTCTGTGTCCCTATGTCTTGTATTTGCCCCACAAATACAAATATTTCATCTTATTTTCCTATGAAGGCATTGCTGCCTGTGTTTTAATAAGTATACTTACAAAATGAGCATAAACACTATTCATTGAAGTGTACTGAAAGTACTTTAGAAACCTTTCCCCCCCTGTCAGAAATACTATCATCTTGATAACATGGAATTTTTAGAAACAATGCAAATTACAGGCCCAAAGATCTTTACCTGCAAATTAAATTGGTTCCAGAAGAAATTTAGCTCTGTATATATTTCTATATTTATATTTACATTTTAATGTACACAGAGCTGTGTGTGTGTGTGTGTGTGTGTGTGTGTGACCAAACCTGACAATCACTCAAAGGCGTACTTCTGAATCTTCTTCAGACACTGGTGATCTATCATGCCAGTGTAGAAGGCTGATGGACTCAGTAATCTTTGTGTAAGGCTTGGTTAACAAGTTGACTATGCAATTAGAAATGATCTTTATTTGCTATTAGATTGAAACTAGTAATTGTCCAAGTCCCAAAAGCTTGGACTGGTTTTCCAGGATCCCATTTTATGTGTTAGAATACCCTGACTGGAATGTGTAAAACCCAGGACTGGAAGAGAGCTGTAGCAAACACTCAGGGAATCACATCCTCTACCTACTTCTTTTCTTTCCTCTGACAGTAATCAACTCTGAAGAAAGTGCCCCTAGTGTGGCCAGTGAGTAGGGAATTCTTGAGTTAATTTTATGCTTCTTTTATTTTTTTTACTGAGGGAATATTTAACTGCTTGATTTTCTCATTTTAGAAATGGAGATAATATAATTTTGCATACTTTTCAAGTGTAATAACTGGCTTAATTAAATAACATGTCTTGAAAATGGTTTGAAGATGTGAAAATAAAGTGTTGTTGAGCCCCTAATATGCCTGAGCACAAGGCTTCTCTCAAAGAGAGATGAGGCAGCCACAGAGCTGGAAAAGGAACTGACAGTGTCAGGGCCACAGAGCATCCTCACCAAGCATGTCCTTGTTTTGGATTTGGCTCATCTGGCCACAGAGAATATCAGATGGAAAAACCAGACCTATTGGGGCTTAGTAAACCACTTAGTGATGATATGATTTTGAAAGATGTATTTTAAAATGTTTAAAATGAAATTTGTTTTATCTTGGCCAAAATCTAAGTAATTCCTTCCTTTCATCACCAAATTTAAATCTGTACTCCGTGGTTATACACACCTTTATCTAATGTAACAAGAAACCTTGCAACCTCATCATGGTGCTACAATTTATGCAATTTAGTGATTTTCTTATATGTATCCCTTTTATACAAATTATACCATTTGGCATAATTGCAGCATTTTCTGTCATTAAGTAATTACATCCATAGTCAATAATTCCAAAAAAGGTTTTATAGAACTCAATTTATAATTAATCCTGAACCCATACACCCATACAAGAGTTAAAGCTTGGATTTTCAGGTCCTAGGGCCAGGCTGAGTGAAGATAGATTGGCTGTACATTTAATGTCCCCTATGTAACTGTCATAAGTTCTTTAGACTGAGGACTATAATAAGGGGCAGTATGGTAGGTGATTTAGGGTATTGGCTTTCAAGGCATCCTGCCTGGGTGCAATTTTTGCTTCTAGCTCTGTGACCTACAACGTGCTGCTTAAGCTCACAGTATCTCAAGCTCTAGATCTGTACAATGGGGGACAATAATAATACCCCGCTCATGGTAGTTGTGAAGTATATTAGTTAATCCATGTAAGGTGCTTAAAACAGAGCCTCTACTTGTTGAGTTCTAAGTATAAACTACAGTCATCCTATACATCAGACCTTTTATGCATAAACTCAATGATTTAATCACTTTATGAAAGAACATAGTTTAATAAGTATTCATTTAAACAAAGATATAAATATATACACATAGTATATGGATTTATACACTCTCTCCTCCTCCTGGTACTGTGTCACTCACTCTCTGTCCTACTGATCCACATCTTAAACCAATCCACATCAAGATAGCCACTTCCCATCTAACAAGTAATACACTAATTGTAGTGAGCTCTTGTTCTCTTTACCTTGAAGGGATCCAAGTTCGTATTTCAGATACAAAATCAAGCCAAATGCCTTCATCTCCCAGCCCTGCCCTAAAATAGTGAGTAGGTATGTTTAGACTACCCCAGCTTCTACAAGAAGCAAACAGAGTATTTCATGAGGTTTGGCAGAGGACCTGCACTTACTCACAAGCCCTCTCCTCCCAATGTGCACCCTAGAATCAGAAGGTAGGGTTTTAAAAAGTAGCCCACCATGATTGGTTTTTTTCATTCTACTGTTTTATGCCCTGTTATCGACTGTATGTCTACTCTGTCCACTAATATTTATGTGACCACTGTCTCATACAGTCAGGCATTCATTCATTCACCAAGGGCAGCAGAGATAAAAGTCTTCTCCCAGATATAGAAAACAGCTGTTTCCATTTTTCCTTACTCTAGTGAGATGTCTATACATAGCTTAAGTATGGACCCCACTGGGATTGGACAAGGCCCAAGCAGAAGCCTTATTGAGAGGAAGCCTGGCCACTAGCACAGCTCCAGACAGGTTACTGCCAGGAAGAGCCAGTGAGGCCATGACCTGGGCAAGAGGACAGGATGAGAATCTAGGTTCATGAAGGTTGAGAGGAACAGTGAGCACAGAGAGTCCCAGCTGGAAAGCAAAAGTCCAGAGACCAGGTTGTCTAAGAAAGTAGGGAGAAGTCAACGGAGAGCACCCTTCAAAAGATGGTCAGCTCAGCACCACAGCCCCAGTGAGCAGGGGTGACCTTCTGTGTGGCAGGCAACTAATAACTCAATTTGGGGGTTGGGTTGTAGGACTGTAAGTCTGCTGTTTCTATAATTTCATAGGCATGGTGATTTTCTGCTCTACAGTCTTTTAAGAACCCTGGCTGAGTGACTTGAGGGTTGATGAATGTCCCAGCAAGATGTTGTGAATGCTTTACAACTGGACTCTTGACTAATTCCCCCATCTCTGTGCTAACGAAATTGTAGAATTTGTCAATCTGCCACAGAAGCTTTCCCAAACAGTGCCCAAAGCATTATTTGTTCTGTAGTTTTAAGAATTATTTTACAAATGCTAATATTTCACCTGAAGCATGTTTGCTGCATTGACTGTACATGAACAATACATATACCAGCAAAACTTCTGTGGGTCTCGGCTAGCCCTGACTGAAAGATGGGAGAAAGAGCTAGAGAGTTCTCTATGATGATAAGTGTGATGCTACAGCTTCTCAGACCACGTTTCTAATCTATTTACTTTTTAGAGTTTAATATTTTATATTTGGGGACAAGAGGGGGGGAGTCGCAGCCAGAATGCATCAAGTGGTGCCTAAGGTCAAAGTGAAAAATAAAAAAGAATATGCCTTTAACCACAAATGTGGGTCTTCCCATGATGGCAAAGACAACCAGAATGGATGACCAAAAGAACCCAGAATAGCATCCTCGATGAATTTTACTATCAAATGAATTATGACGTTTGGATTTAAAGAGTTTTACTAAATGGGGTCAAAAGGGAGATAATTAGCTAAAACTCTAAGCAAATTTACCAATTATTCTTTTCAATGTATTATTATGTAAAAAAGCATTCAGTCATATATGGTTCTGACCCAGGGTCTGTCACTGACAGCTACTAGACCTCTCTGCAGTCCTAGAGATTATTTTTAAAATTAGGGAATTGAACTCGACTAAGGGTTTTACATCTTTGTTAGCTACAGAAACTTTGTTCAAATGAAGTCTTTGTCGGTGGCACATATAGAAAACAAATGAAAATGAAGCCACTTGTCTTAGTCCCTTCAGACTGTTACAACAAAATACCAAAGACTGGGTGGCTTACATACAACAGAAATTTCTTTCTCAGATCTGGAGACTGGGAAGTCCAAGATCAAGGCACCTGCAGATTCAGTGTCTGGTGAGAGCTCACTTCTGGCCATCTTTCTTCTGTCATTGGCACCTGCAGATTCAGTGTCTGGTGAGAGCTCACTTCCTAGATGGCCGTCTTTCTTCTGTCACCTTCCCTGGCAGAAGGGACTAGGGAGTTCTCTGGGGTTTCCTTTATAAGGACAATAATCCCATTCATGAGGGCTCCACCATCATGAACAATCACTTCCCAAAGCCCCCATGTCCTAGTACCATCACCTTGGGTGTTAGGATTTCAACATAGGAATTTTGGGGAGACACAAACATTTAGATCATAGCACCAATCTTACCAACCTTATTTGTTGAAAGGAGTTTGGGTAACCCATTTCTTTCCTAATTTGCTGGTTCACCTGGCCCCTGCCACAGTCCAAGTTAGGTGAGCAGGTCACAGGAACCTTTGTGCTACACAGTGACCTGTACAGTACATGGTATCTCACATCTTTAAAATATTTATCACTGATAGGTGAGAGCTGGCATCGAAGCCCTCACCAAAATATAACCAGCGTGAAAACAAAAGCAGGGCTGTCAGTAGGGGACAGAGTTATAATTCTGTCAAACTTAAAATAGTGTGTATCAAAACTAGTTTTGAAAAAAGAACAAATGGCCATATTTTTTGACAACATTTTCTGGCTTACTCTGTGTTGTAATATAACAATGAGAAAATCTGCATCCCCTGCAGGCTCTTCCCCCAACATGATCTATTTGAGGAGACTTGCAATTACAGTTGGGCATGATGAGTGGTGAGAGGGTAGGAGAGAGTGCTGTGAGAACACCCAGGAGGGACATGTAACCAGATCAGGAATGATCGGCGAACATCTCCTACAAGAGGAGATGCCTCATCTGAATCTAATGGCCAGATAAAATGAAGAAGGGATTTGGAAGAGCAGAAAAATTGATGAACATTGCAGGTAGAAGGAGAAATTAAGAAAGTGTGCAAAGGTTCACAAGCAGGAGAGAACCCAAAGGAAATGAGAGGAGAGACCATCAGCAGATACAAGAAAAATATCAGAATCTGGGTCATGGGGAGCCACTAACTTCCTATTAGGGAGTTTGGCCTTTCTCCTGAGGGCCATGCTGACCCAATGCAGAATTTTAGGCAAGAGAGTAACCTAATCTAATTTTTACACAAAGCAGGAAAGTAGAAGGTAAGTTTGAATGAGGAATCAGTTGACCATTGAATGAAGGTGAAGTTGGTTGCGCCGATAGGTGATCTCAGTGAACCTGGCTTTTCCCTTGATAAAAAGCCATTAGTCCCTGCTTTATCTGCCTCACAAGGCTGTGGTGAGGATTAAAGAAGTTACTGTGTGTCGAAGAACATGGGAAACTGGCAAGTGTCCCATAGTCCTTTAATAAATTGTGGTGGCAGTAACTGCAGCCATATTTGGGGGAAGAAACCAGCAGATGTAAATGAAGCTTCATAGAAGACTTTGGGTTTTTTGGGGGGTGTGTTTTTTTCATAGAAGACTTTGAACAATTCAAAAATCCCGGATGGTTGTATTATTACTTATAAACTGTAAGGAAAGTGATTGAATATTCAAAAATAGGAGATTGTTGGGATATGTATAGCTGTCAAAAGAAGACGTGCAGACTATTTTATCTTCTTCTGTTTCAGTAAAAATAGTGTCATGCATAGGGACCATATTAGAAAAGGAACAGTTCGATATACTTCTAAGTACCTGCACGTAAATTATCTTGAGATGGATGTAACTTTTATTTTATAGGGGAAAACAGACTCAGAGAGATTAAGTGATTTGCTGAAAATTACCAGCCTACAGGTGACAAGGTTATAGAAGTTTGCATTCAAAATTCAGGCACCACTCGTATTTATAACTGGTACTTTATTGTACAGACATAGAATCCTTTCTCTCAAGGCACTTGTACCAAAGATTTAAAATGTTTCATGGGAGAAAAGTCCACAGGGCAAGAAAGTCTAACTTAAAGGTGAGGATTGTTGTACATAACAAAGGAAACAGCAAGAAAGAATATGTCCATCATTCTCTCTATTCTTTTTCGCTTTCCAGATCATGGACCGATGGGAGAATCAAGGCAGTCCTCAGACGAGTTTATCTGCCCCGGCCATACCGCAGAACCTGCCCTTCCCACCCGCTCTTCACAGGAGCTCCTTTCCTGACTCAACAGAGGCCTTTGACCCCAGGAAGCCTGACCCATATGAGCTCTACGAGAAATCTAGAGCCATTTATGAAAGTAGGCGTAAGTGAAAGCCACCTAAAACAAGGGTTACATGAATAATAGCTGAAGCCCTGCTAGGAGTTATACTGAGGCTGAAATGATCTGGTGTGATTTTATGTTTTGAAATTCAAATTATGTCTCAAAACTAGGACCAGCTGATCTAAATGTCTCTAAAAAAAAAAGCTGTCAACTCTAGGTGATTTTATGTTTTGAAATTCAAATTATGTCTCAAAAGTAGGGCCAGCTGATCTAAACGTCTCTTTTTAAAAAAAAAAGCTGTCAACTCTAGAAAAAACTTATAGCTTTTGGTTAAATTTTATTTACCATTGCCACTGAGGAAAATGAGGAATGTATTTGGGATGGGGAAGGGGGCGTAAGAGGTTGCTAGTTTTGTTTGCACCAAATAATAAGAAATGCTTGGGATTTTCATGTTTAATCTGATCTTGAGTCTGAAGTTTACATTTTTCTCAGAGCCTAGAATGCAGGCACTGAAGAATTTGGGGCTGGGAGCAAATGTTAACCAAACCCTTCCATCTCACAGACATGAAAGGGATGGTTTCAAAAGCAGCCCAGAGCCAGGTGCCAGTTATTTCTACCAGAGGCTTGTGCTTCTCATTTAATGCAGTGGAGCCGGTTTGAAAGTTCAGCCATAAAACAAATTAATCGTGTGTGCACTTGACATCCTATTTGAAGGTCCTCTGAAATTATTTCATTGCACTTTATAAATATTAGACAACAAAAGTTTTTAATATTGCATATGCATTCCTCGTGCCTCTTTCCACCAGCTCTAACAGGTCATCTCTGCCAAATGTTAGAGGACAGGAATCTGAAGGGCACGAATGTACAATCTGTGAGGGAAAGACACAGCATAATATGAGCATGAGTAGATGGATCGAGAAGCCTAGCCTAGTGGAATGGGTTTGGTCCCTGGTGCTCTTATTTACGGTCTACTGATTTCCTTTGATTCGCTGTTCTGCCAGTGTCTTCCTTCCAACTTTATCACTGAAGCATGAACAGCAAGTTTTAAATTGTGTGTGATCTCAGAGGAGCTCAAGTCTGCTTGCTCTTTGATGAGCACAGGAGCCAAGAATTATGCACCCAGCTGGTAGGGGGAAAGTAGACATAATACCTTCTCCCCCTCCTCTTCAACGCTTTGTAAAAATAATGTTGGTGGGTAAAATAGTTAGGACAGCAGGCCATTGAGCAATTATTTTCATCAAATTTTTTAAATACTTGGCTATGTATTTCATTCTTCCTCTTTTGGATAAACAACTGAAATGCCTTTGAAGGATTGTATAGTTAGAATGACTTTGCAGTGATAGAATAAGAATAAAGTGGTTACTTTTAGCTAGATAGTATAGGGTATAATTTCAGAGTATTAATGTTCATTAAACTGAAAAAAAATTGAAAAGATTTCAGGACAGTTCTTAATACCTTTTATGCTTCAGTAACCAAGTATTCATTGAATACTTTACTCTCGGCACGATGGGGAGATATAAAAAATGAGTAATATGCCCTGCTCTCACAAGATTGAGGAAATAAGAAGAATGAGTATAAAGAAATGGAGATCAAGGCACAGCAGAAGTTCTAACAGGGAAGGTAGAAATGCATTACAGGATTAAAATCTCGCTCTGAGCCCATGGCTTGTTTAGTGCTTTAATTTGAGAGAGAGAGGGGAAGAAAGAGGGGGAGAGAAAAACATAGATACAAGAGAGAAACATCAATCAGTTGCCACCTGTACACACCCAACTGGAGATGGAACCCTCAACCTCGGTATGTGCCCTGACCAGGAACTGAACCTGTGACCTTTTGGGGCACGGCATGACGCTCCAACCAACTGAGGCACAACGGCCAGGGCTGTTTAGTTTTTTTATTACATTTAGGAAGCATCCAGAAATGCTTCCGCCTGTTTTTGTCCCTTCATTAGTCATCTGCTTCCATCCTTTTGCAGTTTCCAAACCAATGCAAGGCTTTATTATCCAGGGCAAAAGCAATGTTGGTATTTATTCCATCTTCTTTTTATGGTGCCCTAATACTATTGTGTCCCTTATTTTCCAAGCCGAAATTGTCTTGACCTTCTTTTCAACCCAGAAAGAATTCTGATTTCTTTATCTAGCCGCTGCAATGCTGTTTCTGTTCATTGCCTTTCTGCTCCTCACCTGTAATAAACCAAGCAAAGCAGTCTACCTTAACCTGCCCTTTCTTTTCCAGTCTTCCTATGGGAGCACTTTATCCCCATGGCTCCACAGCCACAGGAACAACAGACATCCTGATTCCCCACCTCGTGCCCTCTGCCCCCATCAGACCATCAGTGCCCCTCCTATGTCACTGCTGCTGCCACTGTGCTCATGCCCCCCCACACACACTTCTTGTTATCACCAATCTCTCTAATGTTTCTAAGGTTACAGCAGTGTTTTCAGGGTCACAATTCTTAGGAAGTCAAAAGAGGGCGAGCTCATTTTCTTTCCCATCCTTTTCGATCACGTTATTTCATAACACTAAATGGAGTGTGAATGAAACACGGAACCCATGTCAAGGTTAGGAAGCTTTACCCTGAAGAATAAGGAAACAAAAACAAAAGCATGGTACCACTTTCTCCAGTCCCTGGATAGCTGATCTGTCTACTCTGCGTGTGGACATGCAAATGTCTTGAAAGAACAAACCAGCCCTTGGCCTCCATTCACTTCCGGTTTCCAACGATGAAAAGTTTCATTCTCTTGTTTAAATATTTAGAAAATACCCCCCAAATTTTTTTTAATGAATGGGGGAAAACTCATCATACTCAAATAGTGTTTTTTTTAATGATCATGAGATGTATGCATCCAAACAAAAGGCCCATATTCAAAATATTGATTGTGAACCACTCCTCTTCTTATTCCTTTGAATCACATGCATAATATTTAGGTTTGTATCTATTTATTTTTGTGTCCCTGGGCTTTTTTTCTGAGTGAACAATCAGTGGGACCGGGGAAAGTATGGAAAGGAATCCTGATCAATGCTATCTAAACCAAGTCCTTTGACATTTTCCCTGGCCTGTAGTGATCTCATGGTATCCTCCTTGCAACCAGACCAAAAGCTACAGAGATTTTTGGAATTCACATTCAAAACTGGGTTGCAGTAACTGAATAAAAGGAGGCACCTCCACCCACGAGCTTCTGCTGTACAGAGCTACAAAATGTTTGTTGTATCACGGCTGTCAAGAAGTGTTTGGATTCAAGTCACCCATCCCCTGCAAATGATGGAAATTTATCAAGTGATGTAGATGCTGCTGTGCCTCATTTGGCTTATAATTAGATTATGCTGACATTTTAATGTGCAGGCACAGGACATCTTAATAAAAATGTATTCCTAGGGGGAAATGTAGTGATTTTAAACTAACAACGACAACCATAGGATACTGGTATCCCATGAAACAGAACATGACAAGTCCACGCTTATAGAAGAAAGCGACAAACACCTCCCATCTCCATGAGGTCTTCTCTTGAGGAGGTGGGACTGAAGAAAGAAGGAAGATTCTTCCACCTGGAAGAGCATCAGGCCCAGTAACCAGAGGTGGCACCTTCAGGCTCCACATCAATCAACAAGAAAGCATGGACCACTCAGCATGTATCTAGAACTCTGCTGGGCACCCACAAGAGGACAACCATGAGAAAGCATCTCTGCTCATACAAAGCTCATAGTGAAATTGGGAGACAAAGAAAATCATAGGAAAACAATTTCTGAAAGAGGCTGCATTACACAACACAGCAAATAATATCAGTATTTTAACATGCGAAATCGTGTAGTAAATATAGACAATAGTTTCAATACAATTAGATAATTAGACCAATAATTTCTCATTCCATGTGAAAAATTGATATTTAATCCAAAGAATGTCTCTTATTAAATATCTTTTAATTATCAAAAATCTAGTTAGTTTTTATTGGAGAAGCTGTGCAAAAAGAATTTTTTGTACCAACATAATTCCATATAAAAGAATTATGCCCGCCCCAAAAAATCCTAAAAGAAGTTTTGACCAATGGGGTTTCTGGGATTTTGTGTTAATTATTTAAGCATTGACCCTCTGGCATTACCAGCAATTCCTAGAAAAGAGCAAAAATCTTCCCACCCCCTTCTCTACTCAAGACTTTTAGATAAACGTCACTTTTCTCTGGTTTTAGCCTCTCTTGATAATTGACTTCTTGCTGTCCCCATTACTTTTCAATTTTAAAATTGAAAGCAAAGGAAACTAGTCCCCGCTGAGTTACGGCATAAGCCATGCTATTTTATACTTCTACCTCCTCTGTCCTTTCCCCATGGATCTCATGAAAGAAGGAGTTTAATTTTCTCTGCAATCACAAGAGGAAGGGCTTGCATTTTCTTGGTTTGTGTGCTAACATTCTGAATGTTGGACTATTTACACCATTGCTAACCTTGAAGCCCTCACTGCTCTCCTCCTCCTGCCATTCTTTCTCTCTATGATGGCGTCATCACTACAACCACATGTTTCTGATGTGATAAACATTTTATAATGGCCTGCTCACCCATGAGACTACCTACAGTGACTATGCATGCCAGTTTGTTTAGAACAGTCCTGCCCTGTGTTGTCCTGGCATAATTACTAATAGCTCTCCTTTCACTCACCAGGTTGTCCTTATTTGAATGATAAATTATATGGCTTCCTTTTACCACATCATCTATTAAAGAAATAGACATCATTACTGTCCAAGAAAAGCATATATCTAAGTGTACAGACCATGAATAAAATTTTAATACCTACTCTGATAAATAATTTCTTTCAAGTTACTTTATTTGATGGACTGAATTTTTGCCCATACATGTTTTACCCCTAATTTGAAGTAAAATACTTACGTGATGACCTGTCTTAGTAGCCAAACTCCCAGCCAACTCCTCCCATATGCAGAAAATTGTACATATGTACAAATACAGAGCGTGGCAAACTAAGTAGAAGAAATAGGGAACAAGGCTTCATGCATTCAAGTACTATGTCATGGACTTCTTATTCTTATCACAGAGAATAAGTCAGATTCAACATCTCAATCATCACAGGACCAACCGGGCTTAATTTTGTCTGTCTTCCTGACCCTAGGAAAAATTATACCTACATAACTGCAGTAGATGGATATCATGACTCCTCTCTTTATTGCCAAGCAAGGGAATACAGAGCACTTCCCAAAGAAAATGACTTTGTAATCTTACAAAATAAAGTTTTGATCATGCTAATGAAGGTGATTTAGGAATGAGGACCTTGTCCTGTTGCTTCAGTTTTCTTTAAGCCAGGCTTATTCTCAAGGTTTGTCTCATCCTCAGTTCATGAGGCCATTTCTTGGGCATCCTCCCCACTGTGGGCTCAGACGCTGGAGCAGACAAGCAGATGAAAACAGAAAGAGGCAAAGGACAATCCCTATTCCCTGAAACTCTACCCTCACGGATCTACACCTTGGCATGAACCCAACTTGAGTTATGACTGAAGTTTTACAAACTTTTTTCTCTTCACATTGAACCTTAGTTATTATAAGTAAACATTTTATGAGGTACAACGTGTCCATACTCCTTTGCAGTAAGACATCATTCAGATGTAAGATCATAAAAACGTCAGGGATCCATATGGTATAATGTGCCGTAGAGTATGACCTCTTTGAAATAGAAATGCCTCTGGAATTTCTTCAAAGGGAGCTCACACCATCACTTTTTCTTTCCATAAATTAGGAAGCATTACCCCATAACAGGCAGTAAGGCTCACACCAAAGGTGGCAATCTAAAGTAACCGCAGGCCATTAAAGAGCATAATGGAGCAGCAAACTGTATTTTAGTGCTATACTTGACATGAAATTATAAATTGTAGCCAATCAAAAATGGACAATTGTGCTTTTCACATCTATGGTTTTTATTCTGCTCTTTTGTGGTTCATTGTTCATTGTGGAATTCTTTCATTTTTCAATATTATAATGCTCATGTAATTCATGGCTAATCACAAATGGGTGGTTGAATTTCTAAACCGTCAGTTTTTCTGCAGCTCTTTCTTTGTTATTACTGAGCAAGGGTTGTAGTTAGCATTGTCTCCCATGCTAAGAGCAGAACCACCTGGAAAGAGGAGGCAGTATAAAAATACTATCCCCCACACACAGCACTGGAAACACTAAGTGGAAACTGATGGGACAACCACATGACACCAGGTAGAGGCACACGATGCACAGTGCTCACAACCGGAGCTCCAAATCCTGTACAAGCCTTCTGCTTGAGCCTACCTGTCTCCAGTCTTCTTTGCCTTTATAATTAAATACCTAATATGGTCACACTGGACATATCAGTAGGTTTGGAAAGATTTTGATAAATTTATGGATGCCACAGCTGCAGGCAGCTAATGAGTAATTATAGAAGGCTTCCTGACCTTCCTAGAGAACATCCTCAGGTCTAATACTGCTACATCAAGCCTGCCTCATCTGCCCGGACATTGCTGGTGTCCAATGGCCTTAAAGGACCACCCACACCCTCTGGAGTGCTATTGAAATATTAAAATAAGATGACCTGCAAATGATAAGACACTTTTACCAGTGACTTTAACATGAGAATCATAAATAAACTAGGAAAAATTAATAATATTATCATTTAAAATGTCCTGAACTGTACTATGAAGGTTAATTTCGTATACCTTTTTCCCATGGGAAAGTCGTTATTGCTGTCTTTAATATAATTTATATTATGGTTTTATCTATGTAACAAATTTGCTTTTCAGCTGGAGTTTCTAATATATCACATTATGTATCATTTTATAGTTATAATATATTGATAAAGAAGATCAGTAAATTCAGTTAAGCTGTCTTTACCATTTTTAACATGTAGATTTTAATTTGGAAATCTAATTTCAAAGATAATATTTTCAGGTAGCTTTGCAAATAACTATGGTAATATTTATAGTTCTAACAGGTTCCTTTTAATAAAGTTACTATGATATGAGTTAAGTAATAAATAGATAGTGAAATAAAAGTTAGGTTGGGGACACATTTTTCACATGTATTTTAAAAACTGGATCCAATCCAGTAGCTTATAAATTTATTTCATTCAGTGTTCAAAACTTAATGCTCCTGGAATCAGACAGAAGACAATGGGAGGGGGAGTAATGGGTGAAGTAAACTCTAAAATCAGTCCTTGATTGAAAGTTATTTAGTATGTCAAAGCATTTTGTTGGTAGCACAAGTTGACAATGTAACTGAAAGAACTTTCATGAATAAATATGAGACCATCAGGGCTGAAGTAAACCGAGTGTAATTGCTGGATGACAAGTAGGTCCTAGTGAGATTATGATAATATAAAATGTCAGGTTTACAGCTAATGGAAGTGTTTAGTGGTAGCAGTCTCCTGATACTGCTCTCTCTTTTTGATGAAAGTACATTTCTCAATTTATAATCCTAAGCAGTCACACTAAACATGGAGATTTAAAAAAAAATAACAATTCTGCTAGACAACTAATTTGCCTTTGCTGTGAAAACACAGATTGCCTGGCAAGTCTGATCATCCTGCCTGAGACTAGCTGTGCAGGGTCCAGCAGGGAACACGTCAAACACAAAAGGCCTCCAACCCTATCAGCACCCGCAAGAGGCCTCCCTTCCCATTTTCCTTGTTGAATAGTGTAGAACTCTATTTGAAACAAACAAAGTTTAATTAGTAAGTAATCAGAATTTGGTCTTATTTTAATTTTTTAAATTTAATAACATAATATTAGTGCTTCATATGTGTGTGTGTATATATTTCAGAGTGTGTTCTAATATTGTACACTCATGTTCATGAATTTATATGTAGCAGAGATATCATAATTCCCATGAGTGGTCTCTATTGCTAAAATAAACCAATTTAACTCAATTACTGATACATAAGTTCAACCATCCAGAGTAAATATCAAAATATTTGGACGGGTATACATAAATCATCACAATTGTTGATTGAATTTTCCACTTTTAATTATAATACGTAGTCGATGTCACAATATAATAACATGATTTTAAAAGACCTATATTAATTGTGTATATTTTGGATTCTGGATTGACTTTACTTTCAAATAAGCATTCTTATAATGAGAATCAAAGGTTAGTATTTGGAAATGGTAATCTTTTTTCCATTTTGATCTAAAGGAATTCGGGTTTTTCTATTTTACATGCATGTAAAATAAATACATTTATAGACATGTTCATATACATAAAGCAGTAAATCTGTCCACTAATTCCCATAGATTTTAGAGGAAAAAATAATCATTAAACATGAGCACAAATTGGGGGTGAGATATAATATCAACAAAAAGAAAGTAAAGATGAATTTTAAAATGCCATAAATGAGTTTCGATTTTAATTCCCCATTTTCCCATCCAGAACAAGTGCCACCAAGGACCAGTTTTCGAATGGATTCCTCTGGCAAGTATCCTCCAGTTCTCACAGCCCTGTGAATGACGTCTTCCATTTTGTGTAACAAATCATTCTTCTGAGTAGTATCAGTTAATTAGTATGTAATCACTGTGCTAATTTTATCCACCTACAAAAGCATGCATTTAAGATAGAAAGTAGGTCTCATCAAGGTGAGCCAACATGACTGTCAAGGGAAAAAGAAAAAGAAAACAGTCATATTTATTCATTTATTTCATAAAATGCTTTAGTTAAAGACAAGATTAAAAAGCAGGTGACAAGGAAGGCCACCAGACTGACTAGATCCATGCCGTAGCTTCTAGCCACATGTGGCTATTGGGCACTTGAAATGTGTCTACTCTGACTTTGAATATGCTGTAAGATGTGTGTCAAGTCTACACCAGATTTCAAATACAGTACAAAAAAATACAGAAATGTATATCTCAATTATTTTATATTGATTGAGGCTTAAATAATATTTTGACTATATTAGGTTTAAAAAATATTATTACATTTTATTGTACCTGTTTTGATTTGCTTTTTCAAATGTGGCTACTAGAAATTTTTTAATTACTTATATTGGCTACATTTTATTTACATTGGACATCCCTAGTCTAAATACATATAAATAAGAAACTAGAATATGTAGAGATTTGCAATTTAGACATTTTCAAAGAACTTATTAGAAATTTTGCTAACATAGAATGAAATTATTTTCACATCAATTACATATCTACATAAATTTAATTTTTTAACCATTCCAATTATAAAATGCTACATTTCAATAGTTTTTAAGTTGGACTAGAATATTATAATTTCAAGTATAAAAGCTGTTAGTAATAATTAATTTACTTAAAAGGAAAAAAATTTTGACCTAACCATTCTGAAAATAGTTCAAAATTTGGTTTGGGCTAAAATATTTAATGTTATTGTGGAAATGAAGAAAGAAAAGGAAGATTCAGATTTTTTTATTCGTAGGAAGTGCTTTGAACAGCTGATTAGAGCACTGGATTGAAAGCCAGAACACTGAAACAATTGCAGAAAAGAGCGTTTTATAATAATAGTACTATTTCAGGTCTGTAGGCTCACAGCACACATCTCTAGAGTGTTTCCATGATGACAGCTCATTATCCATCTCAGCATGTTCTCACACCCCCCTGGAGAATATATGTGCTCGAGATCATTTCATTCTGTAAGTTTCCATGTCATTTTTTTTGGATATGTAGAAAATATGGAAGATATTGCTTAGCATTTTGTCCTCAAATAATGTCCTCAAATATTTGCTTATCTTGGTCTGAAAATTTTTATAGCATGATTATTCTTATATGCTGACGGGAAAAGCCTTATAATTTTTAAGAATATCTTATGCCTAGAGGGAAAATGAGACCTAGTAATTACAGTTGCAAAATGAAATCAGGACTTCATTTGAGATTCTAAATCTCAGCGTGCTAGCCACAGCAGGCACATTTCTTTAAAAATCTCAGCTTCTGAAAGTACTTTATTTAAAAACAAAAGAAGGAAGGGAAGGGCCACCTAATAGTTTAGATTACCTTGATGTATGTGCAAAATACTATTTTTACATTTTAAAAGATACAAGTTGCTTAAAAGAGAGTTATAGTGTAGTTGAGTATATGTAAGACAGATTTTCAAAAAGATAACCAATCCAAATATTTTATTAAATGTCCACACAAGTTATCAAAATATTCTGGAAAATTATGACTGCATCCAAAATAAACAAATCTCCTATAGTACTGCTCACATTTATAAAATATCCTTTATCCAATTCTGTGTCATGATTTTTGACTCAGACATATTTATTGTAATTGTGAGGTATTTTGTTAACTTTAGCTGCATACAATGCTTAGGTACAGAGGCAAAGTTGGTAATAGGAATTCCTAAATAATGTATTTTTGAAGCTAAGTGATAACTTCAGAGTAGAATAATACTCTGGTTTATGGGGTCTGCTAGATTGGTATCTTAAAACAATTAAATTCAAGAAACATTTATTTGGCAACTTCTATAGGCTATACACAATAGAATACTATAGATAGACAAGGATAATTTTGTCATCACTAAGAATGTTAGTGAGAAACAATGAATTCATAGCCAGGACCTTTGAATGGAGAGCTCCATCCAAAGACAAGAGAGCCAGGGCATGGAATATCACAGAAACCAAGGGTATAAATCATTTCCAGAAGGAGAATTTTCCTTGTTTAGAAATTTAAAAAAATTGGGATAGAAGCATTTGAGATCTTGCTTCCTGGCATGTCATCAGTTTGACTCGAATAAACTCTTATAAAATTTTTAAAAAGAAATCAGGGGTTATAAAGGGTGTATCGAATGAGGCACAGAAATCAATCAGAATGAGGAAAGAGAAAATGGCCATTCAATTCGGTCATTAGGACATCATCAATGGCCTTAAAGACAGCAGTTCAGTAATGCCAAAAGAGCAGAAACCAGACTGGCAGGAGTAAGTCAGAGATGAGAGAGTGAAGATGAGGGAGTGAACAATCCAATAAGGACTACTCTTCCCAGAGAGAAATGGGTAGATAAGTAGCGGGTATTTAGGATGGAGACATCTGAGTTTATTTGAAGGATGAGGGAGAGAACTAAATAGAGTAGGAGATGTCTTCTACTACAGCGGAAACATATCTCACCATATTCACATTACCAAAGGAATAAAGGGAAAAAGTAAAGGGAAAAGATTCTTTTAAGACAAAAATGTGTTAGCTACTTATCTGGTAATGTTATACTCGAGCAATAGAAACTATTTAATTCCTGTTTAACTCATTCTGCATTTGGAGTGCATTGGAAACCCAGCAGCCAGAGACAACTTAATAACCACCTATGATTCCTGATTCCATCCTCGTACTGTCTTCCCTAGACCTCTTTACAAAGAAATGCCAAAAAATTAATGTTCTTTCCAGAAGGAAAAATTGAATGAATTCAGTCTCTGTGCCAAACTGATAATAAGCTCGTGGTACTTATGCTTTAATTAAAACACGAAAGGGGATTCAAGTACCAAAATTTAATTGACATGTTTACAGCAGCATCCCATGTGCCAAATTAATCCATAAAAAAATGCTGTTCTTTGCATTTTGAAGCTTGAATCATTCATAAAATTAATCAGTTGTGTTTAGTCACCCATCCTTTTCCCTAAAATTGTGCACAAAGCCATATCTTTCAAAATCTAGACCAAGGTATATATAACATTGACACCTTCCTGGAGTCTTAGTGGAAAATAAGAATCAGCTTTGAAATTCTACTTTATTATGAGGAAAGTTGTCCTGATACCTGGATGTGGCCACCATTTACTACTTTTGAATGTGTTTGCTTTTTCAATATTAGTGGGAGCCCAGGATAAATCAGGACTTGTAAATTCCATTCCTATAGTTTTCCATGGTGGTCAGGTATCTTAGATGAGTATCTTAAGCTGCTTTATTTCATAATGCCCTAGGACCCTGGCCCTGGCTTCTAAGGCAGAACACTGGTCATGCCTGGCCATTGCACACCAATGTCCAGAATATTCTGTCTCTCCTTAGTCCATTTCTTCGCAACCCCTGCCTCATCTTGAGAGTATCCCTGACAGTTCTATAAAAAGAGCTGAGGAAAAAGGTAAAAAAGAGCATGGAAAGAGAATAAATAAGAAAGTAGATGAGGAAAAAAGAATGTTGGTGGGGGCATGGTTGACATCCAAAGTGACTGAGGTCCCACTAGGTGCCCGCCAGACCCCTTCATCTAACAACCTTCTAGGTGCATGGTTTTCAATTCAACCAAGGGGAGGTGTGGTGGTTGTTAAATCCTATCCCAATGGAGTGAAGAGTTGGCCCTTGGATTTCTTTGCATTAAGTTCTTACATTAGCAGAAGAGATGAAGCATAACATCATTTTAAACATGACATCAGGCCAGAAGAGCAACTAAAGGAAAATATCAAAAACATCATAAACTTTCCAGAGAGCTAACAAAGCAGGAAGGAAAAAGAGTAATGTCTCCCAGCCTTGCGCACGTAATTGTAGTTATTTTTCTAAAGGCAGGCTCAAATTGGGGGGTAGAGGGATAAACCAAAGAAAAATTATCTTTCTAAAAGTTCTTATTTTCCCTAAAAAAGAAAAATACTACTGCTTTAAGGCACAATCTATCATTTAAACTTTTTTTCCAGTTGACTATTTCTCTAAAGTTTCCGTGCCCTGCGGGCTCTGAGTCGGTGTTCAAAATTAACAAAGAAATAGAAAATAAAGCACATCTGCTGGCACACTTTTCTAATGGGTCTCTTTTGTCCTCTCTCTGCTTGCTTGTGTACCATGAGCTGGCCCTCTTCTGCTTGGTAAACTAGAGGGTGGAGATGACATGGTTGACACATATCACCGTATGTTTGAAATCGAAGTGAAAGAGCAACAATCAGAAGATGCTAATGTCACCAAAATGTGCGCACAAAAAATAGGAGGAGGATGGACGCCCCACTCACATCTGTTCTTCAGAGTTAAATAAAATTAACTACCTAATATCTACATTTTTCTACTGAAAAAAAAGAGTCATTTATTTAGGAAAAGCTTTCCAGTGCCCCAGGAATCACAGCATTCTCTAACATAAGACAACTCCCTTGCGTTGCTGGGATTGTCATAATTTCCGCTTTTGCTTGGGGAAAGTTTTATTTAGTAAATAAAATGAATCACACAATTAACTCCTCTTATACTCTTACAGTTCCTCATGCTATGTAGATTCGTGCTGAAGCCATTAGAGGAACAATTTCCCACTTACCATACTCACCAGCGATGCAAAAATGAGAATATTTATGAGAATAGATTGAATGTTCTGGTTAAATACATTCTAGCTCTACTATTTTAAGTGCCAAAAATATGTCATGCTCTCTTTGAATTTTTTATGTATACATAATCTAGAGTCCTCTAAGCTAAAAGTAACTGAAAGAGGAGATTGCTGGGAGCAATCATATCACAACCAACTTTTAGAGGTTTGAACAGGGATTTGACATAATCTGTCATCTTCCTTTCTCCTCTGGCCTTTCTTCCTCTCTTGGGAGACGTACAGGTTTCTGCTGTGATTGTGCAGGGCTGCTCCACCTGCCTCCAGAATCCCAAAAGCTTAGCACACACCGCAATATGTGTGTGACTTCATGTGTGATATTATAGATCCCAGGATAAACTGAGTTCAAAAGTCAATTGTGAATTGTATAGTGTAGGGCAAAGTTTGTTTTTTACCTTTTATCACCCAGCTCTAATTAGCTATTTAATAGGAATTGAATTCTCTTAAGTTACCTCATCTTTAAGATATGAATGATTATACAGTTCATAAGGGATGACTCATGGATGTGGAGATCCAATTGGTTAGTCTTCTTTGAGTTTTTTCTTAGTCGTTGAGTCTGTCTCTCAACTATGACTACTGAGTGGTCCAGACATAGCTTCCTATCCCAAAAGGATTCTCTGAAATCTCACCCCAATTTCCAAAACCATCCTGTTTAAGCAAGGAGAATTTAACTTAATATTTGCTTCTATCAGTTCTAATATCTCCTTTAAACTATTAAGGCCAGAGATCACTAAATACTTTTTAAGCAAAGGATGGCATGAAGTATTCCCCAAAGTTGCTACTCATCCACTGACATCCTAACAGTGACCATGAAAGTATGTATGTACAACTCGGTGAGACTTTTCCCCTGAGGAAGGTTCAAAGGTCCAGGGGATGGGGAAAAGCATAAATTATATTTAAATAGTCAAAAGATTTCTTGTAGTTTTAGAATATTTATTATAGAGTTGAAAAAAATGACATTCGAGAGAGTTTCCCAGCTTATTTTTCAGTATATTTCTATTCTTTCAGCTAACTGCAAAAAAGTATCCTCTTGTAGTTTACTCTGAAAACACTAATGAAGTCAATAGTGAACCTACTAATGGCTTCCACATTTCAAAATGTTTGAAGGTTAAGAGTCCACTTAGAACTAGGTGAATTTCTACCCCTAAATTTTAAAAAACCTGAAGGAGTCAGTCAGAAAATAAAAACTTTACTCAAACCTCAATACAGAAAAGTTTAAATTCTATTATTTTCTAACTGCTACAATTTTTAAAGAAATGACTTTTGCTAGGCATTATTTTATAACCCATTCTCTGCTCCCCTCCCCCCCACACACACACTAAACTGAATGCATCAAGTTATAAACAAATATTAGTCAATTACTAGGTAAATTTCATTAGGTAGTTCCAAGATGTTGCCATTTGTTCTCTCATACTTCTAAAATAATCATTTAGTCAAAGTAAACATGCTCAAAGTGACAGCCAATCTTCTTAAGGATAATCTGAATGCTCAGAAAAATAAAGAATTATAGAGGCATCATTTTTTTTTCACCCAGAAAATTTGTGTGCTCTTTCTGCCTTGGCTGGTCACTGCTAATTCAGACTGACTAATTTTGGAATACCTACTTTTCGGTGCAATACCTTTTTTATTCTCCACGCATTAATCATATCCACAAAATTACTTTATCATTGGTGTGTTCAGTCCGTCAGGGGGGTGGGGAGGAGGCAGGATTCAGTATTCATGGGATCTCCTTTATGCCAGGTCCAGATTATAAGGAGCTGGATGTTCATCTTCGTAGGATGGAGTCTGGATTTGGCTTCAGAATTCTCGGAGGAGATGAGCCTGGACAGCCTGTAAGTTGAATCTTCTTTATGTCCACACTTTGGGCTATATTGTGTGTGTGTGTGTGTGTGTGTGTGCGCGCGCATCAAAGGAACTATCATTGTGAATGACATCTGAAAGGAAATTTTTTAGGACGCACATAAAAAAATTGAGGTTTTGGGCGGTTTTTTTCGTATTTAAGTTCTCAGAATATGCCAGTATTTCCATGCCTACACACTGTTAATGCACATTATATTAAGAAAGAGACATTACTCTTTCTTAGAATAGTTTAAATTTTTCTTGAATATTTCAATTACTTAATTGTATTGGACCAACCACTGGTCTCTCTGGGCAGCAGCTCACAGGTAAACACACATGCAATATGACAGAAGATACGTGTGAAGAGATGACTTGGAACAACAGAATTATGTGTGTTTTCAATCAAAACCACACGGGAGAGAAAACACCGTGATAAACAGAAGCAAGAGCAAGCTCAAGGCTGCAGAATTTCAACCTGATTTGAATTAAGAGATTACCATGAGATGTTCACAAAGTCAGCTTCAGTTGGCACAATATTGGAAATTTGGGGATGCTCTGGAGAAATCATTCCTCCCTATAACTCATCTTTCTCTTTTGTCAAACTTATTGGGGTAAAATTGGTTAATAACATCATATAAGTTTCAGGCGTACAATTCGATAATACACCATCTGTATGTTGCATTGTGTGCTCACCACACAAAGTCTAGTAGTCTCCTTCAATCCCTACCCCTCTGGTAAGCACCAGGCTGTCCTATAACTCATCTTAGTCTATCAATAGAATTGAAAATAGTATCCAGTTCCTTCATATACTAAACATTTAAACTCTTGGCCTCTCCAGGATTCCTTTCTGACTTAGCTTCTGATTGCTCTCTAACATGTTCGTAGGCTTCCCATTTAGTTTAATTAGTAGGATTTTAACTTCCTTTAAAGCAGGACTTCATCTTTTCTTTTTTTATTACCTTTTAGTGCCCCATAAATGAAAAGTGTAACATTACCCAGTTAGCCAAACTCCAGGTTGAGATCTCAGTTCTCTAAACTGCAAAGTTGAGGGAAGAATCTCTATGATAATACCTTCAGTTCAGACACCAGCTACAAATTTGGGGGTCCCCACGGCCTTCTCCGGATTCAATAATTCACTAGAACAACTCACAGAACTCAGGAAAGTGCTATACTTAGGATTACAGTTTTATTATAGTGAATGAGAACAAATTAGAATCATCCAAAAGAAGAGGAACATAGGACCAAGTCGGGAGGGTTCTAAATGTGAAGCTTCCATCTTCCTCAGGATCGTGTTACCATCCCAGCATCGATACACTAGGATTGCCAACCAGGGATGCTCACCCAAGTTTTTGTGTCCAGAGTTTGGGGTTTTATTATGTGCGCATGATTGATGGAATCATCGCCCAGGTGGTTGAGCTCAACCTAGAATGTCAGGCTGCTATCACGTGGCTCAAAGACCCAACCCTCTAATTACATGGCTGGTTGTTCTGGCATCATCAGCTCCCACCCTAAGACTGTTGGTATGGCTGGCTCCACCCTGAGTCATCTCCTTAGCATAACCTATATCAGGTGCCCACCATGAGCCTCCTCATTAGCCTAAACTCTCAGGTATGGCCCAAAGGGCTCACCATGGAAACTAAGATACTCCTGGTCCAAGGGTATAGGGGTACCTTTCAGGAAAGGCCCGACCTCTCTTTGGACTGAGGCCAAATTCTTTATTTCACAGCCATATGCTGAACATGAAAATACCAAATGAAGGAAACAAGACGAAACTATGTCCAAACTAAAACTAAGGTGATTTGGATAGCATTTTGTGGGAGACTGTGTGATAGTTGAGACTTTTGTCAAGCATGTAAGGTTAAATCCACATAGAATCCATTGTACTTAAACTAACATAATGCCTCAACCTTAACAACGTAAGGGGTCACCACCAGAAAGATGAGGTCCCTGTTTGTCCCAGGACGCACTGACGGACACACTTCCCCTTACCAATCTGTGAGCTCCTTGGAGGCAGGCCTGTGTTTTGATGGTGTTTGTGTCTCCCAAGCCTAGCAGAAAGCCTGGCACAATAAGTGATTATTAAGTGGAATTTAAGAGAGCCCTCTTAGCCAAACCGAAACTGTCGCCTGAGCTTGTCAGAATAAATACGATCTGGAATATACATATTTTGAGGCTTCTAATCCAGCAGGCTATGTAGAATTAAAAATAACCTAATCCTTAGAAGTAGGGATGTGTCCTGGTGGCCCTACAGCATGCTTTGTTTAGCTCTGCCAGCGCTTTAAAATTGCCATGCATCAACTAATCTCACACATTTAAAAATTCAAATTTCCACCTTCTCTTGAAAAATACATCTGGCAACATTGAGCTTGCCTTTCTCCATGACAACTGGCTGGAGCTAAGCAGTGGACCGTTTTAGGCTAAGCATGGCCACAGTTCCCAAAACTCCGTAATGCCTGTGTTATTTATTTTGTTTATTATCTCTGAAACTCCCTTCCCAGAAGATTAGATAGAAAAAAAAATTGAAAGGTGAATACTTTGCACCAAAGGACTCTTCAACCAGGGCCAGATTATGGTTTTAATTGGCCCTACCACTGAAAATATTATTGGGTTCCTTCTCTTCCATATAAATACAAATGAAAGATTAAGTTGTCACATAAATGTAAGGGAAAAACAAGAACGTTTCCATTCTCCCTGTGACGCTTACTTCAATGCAGTGTTTTCAATGCACAGTTCTTACATTTGCTGGGCTTCCCCATAGCCTCATAGTCTGCTTCGGGGATAAACTAGCACCACATTCAGGAAATACTGTCTTCAATGGTCTCCCCCTCCCCACAAGCAGTAGGGCTTACATGCCAGTCACAGGAAAGGCCTAGTCTCAGCGAGCTCAGGAAGGGAGAGTTCTGGCTGAACTTTGCCCAGCACAGATTCAATAGAATTGATACCCAAATGGAGCACCTATTGCTCTAACGGAAGCTCAGGTGTGTGAATGCAGCCATGGTCACCACCCAGCCTCAGGACACCTTTCTACCTTTAGTGGGCAGGCATCTAGTATTTACAATAAGCCTCCTCCGATTACATGGACTTGCTGGTTATCCTTGTTGTGTTTATTTAGGTTTATTCTGGCTTATTCTTTCATTCAAATGATTTAAGACACACTCAGGCTACAAGCTGCAATTCTGACAGCCCAGCCATAAAGTCGAAGCCTAAATCCCCCTCAAGCCAGCAAAGCCCGAAAGTAATGTCTTGAAGACCAGAGTACTGCACCTCAGAAGGACCATAGGAGGAAGAGCGAGTCCAGTAAAGGTCTCGCATGAGCCCTTCCTTCCTGCCTTCCTCCATTGTAAGTCCAAAGATAATCCGCACACAAAATGCGCTCGCCTCATTTAATTGCTGGCAGGCTACAAAGGGAGAGGCACGGGAGGTGACTTGGTCCCCAACCACAGGAGGTCTCCTAAATTACCTCAAATGGGTTTCGGCCTCCATATAGACGCAATGGTATTGACATCTCAGGGTGCACATTAAAAACGACAACACCGCTTATGGCAAATAATGCACAGCGGGACTCCAGCTCAGACAAAGCATATGGGCATTTTTCCTGCAAGAAGAAATACTTTTCACAGTTAAATAACAATAGAAATAGAAAGAAATGAAAAAGTGCCAGAAAGGAACAAAACTGAGGTTTCCACCTGTGAGCTGAAAAGAGATGGAAAGGCATCACGATGGAGGGACTTGGGGAACACTGCAGCGGAGAAAGGCCTGTGTGGAGGAGAACTGTTAAAGAAAGAGCGAGGTCATGACAGGCACATTCCTTGGTACAGGAGTCGGGGGCACATTTGTGGGGGGTTGTGGGGGGGAGAGAACAAGTTATCCTGGGCTCTGATTGTTGCAGATCAGATCCGCTGGGATTGGACTAGCATGAGGTAGGGCAGGAAAGAATTAAAAGGCCTGCAAAGGTGGCTTTCATTTTGTTTCTTTGTTATTTGTTTTTGTTTTCTTTGTTGTGTTCATTTTTGCCCCTGACCTACTGGGCTAGCAGACACTTGAATGTGAATTGCTATTATTTCATATCAAACATTCTGCTTTGTTCCGTGTCCTCACAACCTGTAAAACAAATTGGAGTTGTAGAGTTGTTTATAATTCTTTTGTTTTTTAGAGAAGGCAATTGGAAAGATAATGCCATGGGTTAGTTGTTCTTTCAATGTGTGTGTGTATGGGGGTGGGGGTGGGAATCTTTCTTGGTCTGTTTTGCCATAAAAGCTCTTACTTCAGACCCAAAGCCATAGAGGCAGGGTAAAGAACTCCTCCAGGAACACTGAGAAAGCGAATGAGTGGGACTAGGGGTCTGCAGAGGCTGAAGAATACGGTGAGGCCAGAAGGAGCAAGGCCAGTGTTGGCTGGGAAGGCTTGGTCAGCAAGCCCGGAAGGAAAATGTAGCCTGATGGGTCAGGGAGCCCAGACCATGCACTCAAGGGGGCATCCCTCAGCAGACCTGGAGAGTGACCGGTGTGGCCGGGCAGGGAGTTGAGGTGAGCACCAGAGGGAGAGTCCTTCAGCAGACTTGGAACATGACCGTGAGACCACAGAGCCTCTGGCCATTGGACCAAGTGGGAATACTCAGAATGTTGCTACTCAAAGTGTGATAACAGACCAGAAGCATCCAGCAACCCCTGGGAGCTTGTTAAACATGCAGAATCTCAGGTTCCACCCCAGGCCTGCAGAATCAGACTCTCAAGGGGAGGTCCAAAAGTCTGTTTTAACAAACTCACTGGGTGATTCACATACACCCCAAACTTTGACAAGGGATCAATCAGGTACCCTGAGGCATGTTTTCAAGAGCTTAAATGAACATGGTATATACATTGGGAAGCCAATATGAATTACAGTGCAAAAAGGAATCACAGATTATCTAGTCCCTGCAGTTACCTGCAGTTACAGTGGCAGACAGGAAAGAAACTAAACATATTCAAATAAAGCATATTGAAAATAAAGAGAAAGCGTTGTGGGTTTTTCCCTGAATAGAGGGACACATAGAGCTGGCTCTGTGTCCGCAGTGAAATAAAATGCATGAAGGTGCAAAGGGCCAAAGGCTGTGAACAAAGCCGCCTGACAGCCAGAAGTGACAGTGCGCGCATGTGGCCAGCTTCTTCCCAGCAAAGGTGGAGGTTCCTGGCGGAATGAGCGAATGTAACTAATACATATGTCCCAGGACAAGCAGCTCTGATGCCTTCTCCAGTTCCCCATGCTCAGCTCGACTAAAGTTTGTTTAATGGCGCTGGCAAACACTTTTTGAAACAAGGTAGAGGATGGATTATATAATGTAATTATATAGTAATGTGTATACATAGAATAATTATACAATATTACATATTGAAATATTATATTGAATACATACAGTTTATTTAGATATTCAATTGAAATATTAATTGAACATAGTTTATTTAGAAGTAAATATATCCTATTTGATCCAACAAACTAAAAGGTGGAAGATTAAAGTTTCACATTTTTTTAAAATGTGACTGAATTTCAGTCTTTGCTCAAATGTCCACTTCTCACTGAGGCCTGCTCTAATCAACTCCAGCACCACCTCAGCCATGTGGCTGACACTCTTTCACCACCTGACCTTGCTGTATTTTTCCATAATACATGCCTGCTAAATATAACATAGCCACACATTTATTATATTTATTATTGTCCTACCACTAGAATGGAAGCTCTGTCGGGCAGGACTTTTGTGTATTGTTCACTGCTGGATTCCTGGCACCTAAAAGTGTCCTTGGGCTCAATGAAGATTTGCTGGATTAATGAATTAATTAGAGAGGGGAGTACCTCATACCATTGCAATACCGCAGAAAAGCAGCTTGACTGGGATTTTCCTGGTAAAAGATGATGTGAAACAAAGAGCACAGAAGATAACTTCAAGGGTATCTATATATCTTTGCTGTTTTCCTTTAGCAGCAAATAGGAATTTTCCAATGTGAAATTTATTTTTACAACCTTTGTAGAGGGCCCAGTTGCAGCTGTGGCTCCCTCAGTTGTAACCTGTTTCCTGATTCGCTTTGATCAGTTAGAATCAAAACTATAGCTTCAAGTTGGTAATTACCCAGCCGGGAAGTTCACAGGCCATGTATTTTCTATAACCACCTATAAACCCTCCCATGTAGCATACAGGAAATCTGGAGGTGAAGCATTTTCTTTGGGTAACCCAGGTAAGTGCAGCTTTTCACGCGGCAGTGGAGAAACATAAACATTCATTTTAACTGGTTTTGCACAGAGCACTTAGCAAATCTTTGAAAAGCTCCTTAGTGGGTTGAGACTTTTGAAGAATAGATTGGAACACCTTCAAAAAGAAACTCATCAATTCAGGTTGGCATGACAACAAGGGAAAATGGAGAATGTCAGATGCAAGCGGACACAAAACCACCCTGCACAGCCAACCTAAGGTCAGCAGGTGAGGCCTTTCCTGTGAGATCAATAATGAACCACTCCTCGGAGCACTACTATTCAACATAGAAGTAAATCTACTCCTCACTTCACCCTCCAGGAATACATGAAAAGGAGTGACAGTGATGGGGAATTTTCATTCCTCTGTGGACCGAAGGAAAAAGAAAAGTCTTCAGACTATAATTTTGCATATACCTGAGAATCCTGGGCATCAAGGTCTGGTTGCCATGTTGACAGGCCACACTGAGCAGTGGGTCCAAGCAGAAGGAATGAATGTGCTGCCAGCCTGAGGCCATGAAGCCTGCAGGTCACAATGCAGCAACTTTGCCAATTAGCTGGAATCCACAGATCTGGGATTTGAAAGAAATTCTTGCACTTGAAAGAAATCAATCTGTGAGCAAGGGGCCATTTAATAAAGATTTAAAATGAAACCTAGAATATAGGCTCTGTAACATTATCAGGCTAATGGTAACTACTGCCTTTAGATGCTGTGTGCCTAAGCCACTTGGCAAAAGAAAAAGGGTGTCTTTTGTTCATGAGTTAGAAAAATTGTTTATAGGTTAAACAGAAAAATTAAAATTCTAAGTACTATTATCTTTCCTCTGCGAAAGATAAAAGCCTTACGAATGGGCACTAAGTTGAGTGCTTCTAATGGGAAGTGGGAACCCTCACTTTATGCCTTTTATCGCCTTCCCTGGTTCAGGAAATTACACTAAAATGCACATTCCCCAGATGTACCTCCTCGTTTCCTGGCATGATAACCACCTAAGCAGCAGAGCTTTTTAGGGGACAGGCAGGACTAGAACGTCCTTTGTGCCAAGGACAGTGCTTGAAGGAAGCATTAAAGGAAGGAAATCTGGAGAAGATTTGACTGAGATTTTTTTTAAGTAAGTCACCTAGCTAGGAAAAGCCAACTATGAGTTTTGCTTCATTTTATTTACCTTCCGCTTTTCAAAGTCAAACAAACAAACAAAACATACTTTGAACCTTTATCACCTTTATCAGAGTTTTTTTCATGTATATTTTTTTTTATTTCTCTAGAAAGAGGTAGCAACCTGGAAGAGTTGGAAGGGCGCCCCTTAAGCCTCTCATTTTTCAAGTACATGATCAGGTTTAGAGCAAGGGATAAAATGTGGAAATAAAATCTCCCACCAAGTTTTTATATACGTATATGTATATAAAAAGTTTGAAACATACGTGCCCTATTCTTCTCACTGCTTCTTTAGATTTTGATTGGAGCCGTCATTGCCATGGGCTCAGCCGACAGAGATGGCCGCCTACACCCTGGAGATGAGCTCGTCTATGTCGATGGGATTCCAGTGGCTGGCAAGACCCACCGCTATGTCATCGACCTTATGCACCACGCGGCCCGGAACGGGCAGGTCAACCTCACTGTGAGAAGAAAGGTGCTATGTGGAGGTATGTAACTCAAGGCAGCAGCAAGAGTTGGAGGTGAGGTGGTGCGATGTTTTTGTGAGACATGCTAAAGATGTTTGAAACAAAATTTTAAATCCGTTTCTATATTATATGAGAGGAAAAAACAACCTAGATATTCTAAATGTAACTGATTTTGAAAGTGCAGATTTTCACCCCACTGGTACCATTCCAAGCAGTCTTTGAGGCCTACATTTTCAATGCAGTCATTAAAATTTCCTAGCAAAGCCTGGAGCTAATTTAAGATGTGTATGCTCTTTGCTCTTTGATAAAGCTAGTTATAAGAACATTATAGTAGTGAAAAATAGGGCTTTTGAAAATGTTCCTCATTGTGTTTACAAACCAAAAACCACAGCATTTTGATAACATAATAAGGCAACAAGGATGGAAAATTAGCTTCCATTGTAGAGCCTGATAAAAAGTAACAGTAAAATTATTACCCTGATTTACATAAATATAGCTGTATGTCACTTTGAGCAAACACAATTCATATAACTCCAAACTTATGAAACAGATAAATTAGAAGTAATTATTCCCTTTACCTCCATTTTCCCAACTTCAGAAAAGAATCCACCAAAGATATTTTCAAAAGTCAGTCCTCGGAGCCATAATGTGATTCCATTTCTCTCTTCACCATCTCAGCTCCACAAAAGATATATATATTTTAAGGAATATGTCTGTTACAAGTATCACGCTATTTCTTGTAACCTGAGCATGCAATAGCATTGGGAATATAGTCCCACACCACCTGTGCTTGGCCCCAGAGATCACAGGAACAGCAGCACCAATATTATCTTGTCACCCCCGGCCTCCGTGACCTGCTGGCTTTCTGCTCGGCCCCCTGACTGTTCCTTGTACAGAATGATGAATGCTAGACTTAGGAGGGCCCTTAGCAACAGCAGCTCCCTCAGGTGACAGATGAGAAGACAGAGACCAGAGGCACAGCAGCCTGCCCAGTAGTCCACGGAGTCAGCGATGATGCAGACTCACTCCCTGGCTAGGACTTATTTTTTATACCACTTTCAGTCCCCTTTTCACTCTCTCACCATCTCCATCCCCGGTGAATGCAAAGACGTTAAACCAACCTTTAGCAAATGTCATTCCAAACATAAGGAGAAGGCGTCTTTCATAGGTGTTATTATTATACCATATTTGAATTTAAAAAGGGCCGCTGGCTAGTCACAGGCTGTGCATGATTCAAGAGGCTAAAGTTTATTAGTCAAACAAAAAATCCTTTTCTATTCGCGTCTTCTAGAAACTAGACTTGGAGCAAGGGTAATCATTTAAAAGGGCAAGTCAGAAGAACTGTCAGCCCTCACCAGTAGAGACTGCTATATATCTCACACAGAGACTTTGCTAAGAAGTGTCATTCATCTGCAGAAATTCCTGCCATACCACTTGACCCAAAGAAGTAAAACACCTTGAATTATCCTCATTCTTGGGCAAGATGCCAGAAGGAAGACAGTGTTTTCTTGATTAATATTTAACTGTCTCTCTCCCCACAGAGTGATTTTCAATAAAAAGTTTGCTGTGCTATATGTTCTGTAGCCCGAAGATAAATTAAAAAGATACCTGGTTTACAAGGAAATACATTGCAAAGTGCCAAACCAGTGCACCAACATAATTTCATGCTCCTCTTGCCACCAGCTGATTATTGCAAATTAAATTTTGCTCTAATCAACCCAAGCTATTGGAGTGTATGCCAAACGCTGCAAAAACGTATTCTTGCAATTTGTGGGTCATGTGACTTCCGTAAAGATGCTCTTTGCTGCAGTTCTTACCAATTTTACTCATTTAGGCTTTAAAGTGCATTTCAAGTGCATTTAATTTTTGATGTTCTGCTGCAGACTGCTCATTCTCACCAGGAGAGTTTCCAAGTTAATTCAGCCCACTCTTCCTTGAAAGCTTCATCAGTATTGAAAATGATTAAGTTCAGCAAAGGATACTTTGATAGTAAAGTAAATGCCTAGAAATAGATTTTTTTTAAAGACATAGGAAGACAGCATTGCCTCATAGTGGCATTTCTTTAACAGTGAGAAGGGACAACTACAAATGACAGCGGAGATGCCTTTTCAAGGGTTGTTATCATTATGATTTCGCTTTCCTAAGCAAAGGCAGTGGGAGGTACAAGCCTGGCATATGACGAGATGATTGAAAGCTGAAGGAAAGTAAGCAATCAGCTGTGAAGAGACAGAAGATGAGCAAGAAGGGGCCGTGTTGCCAACTCTTTGCACAAAGGAGCAACATTATAGAGAAGAAGCTGGGAGGAAGGGAGGTCAGACAGATCATACCCTTCAGCCGTAGGCTTGCTGCAGCTGTACAACTGTCTTGCCCACCTCAGAAGACATTGGGCACCGGCTTCCTAGTTGATGCTCAAGACAAAACACATCCCTTATGAAAGATACAGATGGTGAGTTACACTGGGCAAAAATTAAAATAACACAAAAACCTGCTCCAAATATTGAAATATAAAAAGGCGTACAATTAAAATTAAAATACAGAAAAGAGTGCACATATAAAGGCAATATTTTCAATTGGGCAATGGTAAGCTAGGTCCTCAAAAATGAGAAAATGTGGAGTACAGGAAGGAAATATGCAGCAATGTATCCAGTTTTCTTTACCGGATAATTTTAGCACAGATCTTGCGCCTTAAACGGGTTTTGAGAGATGTCTTACTTATGCCATCAGATCTCATAGTTGTTTTTTTCCCAGGGATAGTAGAAGAGTGCCTTTAATTATTCCACTGAAAGGATAAACATTTATATCTTTAGTAGCTCAGTTTGAGATGTTTACCCTAATGACACATTATTTTGAATCCACACTATTTGTCTGAGAGAAGGGTGTCTCTGAGGAATTTCCTAAAGTGTAAATCTAGAACTGATGTGAACGTTTTATGACTTAATCAAAGCATATTAGAGTCCGCCTTAAAGCTACCAGTATCTTCTCCAACGTCTACGGGACCGTCCAATTCCTGTCCTAATGCCGAGAAAAGGAAGGCTTTCCTGAAAGCGGGGTGGGAAGTTTAGCCAGTGTTTAGGGAGCTGGTGGATTCCCTGGTCATAGTTACTGCACTTTTTGTCAATTCAAAATACATTTTCTTATGCTTTGTCTACCATCATGTCACCCATTTGAATAAGCTGTCTGCCTTGGTGAGTGTAAACCAGGAGTGCACCAACACAGGTGCTTGCAGGTAGGCCGGCTCCTGACAGCACGGCCACAGCCTGTGGCTGCCCTGCCCCATCAGGCCCCTGAAGGTGCACATGCATGTGGACACTCCAACCCCCACGTCCACGCCCTGTCCACATACAAACCCCACTGCCTTGGCCATGCTCCAACACAAGACATGTGCATCTACGGTGCTGTCATCCTCTGGGGTGCTGTCATCCTCTGGGGACAGTCCTAAAAAAAAGGCCCAAGATAGCCTGGAAGCAGGCAAGGTCTGTTTGGTGACAGGGTCCTGGAGTCTGGCCCCACTGTGTGATCTAGAAGAGAAACAAAACCTCCAGTTGAATGAGTCCCTCTGGCCCTGCATACCCCTCACTCTATGGGTTCAGGAATTTGCAAGAGACATTGGGGAATAGTTAGGACTGTGATGACTTGCAAACTGTATACCCCAGCTCTAGTAATCACTACCAAGTATTTCAAGAGAAACTGGAAATCCAGATTTCTGTAAAATCTGCCTATTTTACAACATTGACAATTAATTCTAACAACTATAGACCTGGAATAAATGGGTCTGCTGGCCAATAACTGACTGTTCTAGTCAAAACATCTCATGGGTTCAGGAATTTGCAAGAGACATTGGGGAATAGTTGGGACTGTGATGACTTGCAAACTGTATACCCCAGGTCTAGTAGTCACTACCAAGAATTTCAAGAGAAACTGGAAGTCCAGATTTCTGTAAAATCTGCCTATTTTACAACATTGACAATTAATTCTAACAACTATAGACCTGGAATAAATGGGTCTGGAATAAATGGGTCTGCTAGCCAAGAACTGACTGTTCTAGTCAAAACATCTCACCTGGAGGGCCTTCCCCAATGGAGACCCTCTCCCAGTCAGCCAATGATGATCTCCAATATAACTGGTTGGGACAAAACAGAAGCTTAACCTAAAAATTGGTTATCTGACTTATGTAGATACTAAGTGACAGAATTCTGTACATTCATTTGTGTGTGAGACAAGAAGATGAGTCAGGAAGTTAGTGAATTGAAAAAAATGCACATGACATTCAGTCACTCTGACATTTTGCTACATTATATTCTAAAACAATGATGTCCATGCCCTACACCAGGAAAGGTTGTTGGAGAGAAGAGTCTCATTTAGACGTAGAGCCAGCTGAGTAGAAAAAATGATGTCAAGTCAACTCCATCCCTCAAAATCAATCATATTCTAAAACAATGATGTCCATGCCCTACACCAGGAAGGGTTTTTGGAGAGAAGAGTCTCATTTGGACATAGAGCCAGCTGAGTAGAAAAAAATGATGTCGAGTCAACTCTATCCCTCAAAATCAATCTTTGGAAGTCTTAACTCCCTGGCTTTAAATGTGTTCATGTTGTTAAAGATGAAGAACTTGGTTCTAGACGTTGACAGGGAAGTCCAACAGCAATAGAAAAGTATCCTGTTAATGTAATTACCCAGGGGCCACTCACCACTCACGTTGACTTAGTCCATGATTTCCTTTCTCTCCCTAGAACCTGAGGCATAGCCACTCCCAGCCATTTATTGCAAAGGCAGATAATTTTTCTTTGTTGCTGCTTTACTGACAACCAAGATCTCAACCCCCTAAAATATGACAGCCAGAAAATGAGATCTCTCTTGTCACTGCCTATGACATTTAGTTACTGATTTGGTCCAATAACTCGGGGAGATTTTCAATTTAATGTTGCAGCATCATAATTTGTTTGTTTTTCTTCTTCCTGACTATCTCTAATCACTTTATTTCCAACGCGCAGAAGGAATAAAGGACATGTGCTTCACCAAGACAATAACTGCGTGTCTTTGGATGATGTTTTCTAGCAGAGAGGGTACATTTTACAGGCAGTTTTAATTTGATAGAAAAGAGCGAAAGGCTTTGACATTGACATTTTGTTCTTTTATGACTTCAGTACATTTCTTACAGATGAAAAGCATCCATTTGTTTCCTTCTATTAAAGCCTGATTAATTAAATCTTACCCCAAAATCAAATTTATCAAATGATAATAAGCAGCAGCCTAGATTTTATTCAGTAATTACAAACAAGAAGTAAATGCTTTTTCATAAGGCCATTTTTAATCTGGGTATATGAATGGATGCAGCTTCTTTTCCTTAAAGTATCTGTGTAACAGAACCTTTCTTTTTTTTATTTTATTGTTTAAAGTATTATAAATAGTAGTACATATGTCTCCTTTTTTCCCCCATTGACCTTCCCACGGCCTCCCCTACCCACCGTCTCATGCCCTCCCTGCTCCCCCGCCCCCAGTGTCTTGTGTCCATTGGTTATGCTTATATGCATGCATACACGTCCTTTGGTTGATCTCTTACCTGCCCCCCCCCAACCCTCCCAGCATTCCCGCTGTAGTTTAACAGTCTATTTGATGCTTCTCTGCTTCTGCATCTGTTTTTGTTCATCAGTTTATAATGTTCTTTATTATCCATAAATGAGTGAGATCATGAGGTATTTTTCTTTCACTGACTGGCTTATTTGCCTTACCATAATGCTCTCCAGTTCCATCCATGCTGTTGCAAATGGTAAGAATTCCTTCCTTTTTATAGCAGCATAGTATTCCACAGAACCTTTCTTATAGTCTGTTCTTTTTCCCTAATTTTTCCATTTCAGAATGGAATTGCAGCTTATAAAGTTAAGAGCTTTCATTGGAGCTTTTGCCAATTATTTTTAACTAGACACTTTCCAGACTTCTAAATAGGAAACCATATCTAGCAACCCTCCCCACAAAAAAAAATCATTAATTGTGACTCTTTTCCATATTCCTCTGTTCCATAACGTCTTTTGAGTGAGTACACTAATTAAATTGTAAGATGGAGATGAAACAGCTTTATTTCTAATTACAGTATTCTAGGTGCCACGTCAGCTCTTGTAATCAAGATACCATTACCTAGGTATTAAATTAAAATGACAAAATTCTTTCTAGATGACAGACCAACTTTCATTTTAAAAACTAGCTTCTCTTGGCTGCCAACTGTCTATCACTTCTCTCTGTGAATATGCTTGCTTGCTTTCTTGTGAAAGTAGTGATTTGGTTTATCTGATTGATAATAGAGTATATTTTTTAACAATACAGAATGTAAGTGAGCCAGGCCTCCAACACTTCCTTTAATGATTCAAAATTCATTGCTCCTTAGCCTGGTAACATTGTCAGATCCTAGAGTAAGCAAACTACTTTAAGAAGGATGTTTCCTATCTGCAGGAAGTGAACACATCTAGGCTAACAGAATATCACAAAATTAAACAAAACCATGGCTCCTTAGTAAAATGATGATAGGTCACTTTACAAAGATATCCCCTGGGCTGTTAACCCCACCTCCAAGACTCCTACAGCAGCAGTTCTCAAAGTCTGACCTTGAACCTGCATGCAGACTCCTGTGCCCGGTCTTCCCTAGATCTACTGAAAAAACTTGCCGTGTGTGGACTCTAAAGACAGTTCTCACAAGCTCTTTAAGTAATTCGTGTTCACAGCACCATTGAGGAGCCTGTCCACTTGTTTTATGATCTTCTGTGATCAATTATTATTATGCAACTAAGAAGCCGCTGTCTCTAACTAGACATTGTCCGGGGGGACTGCAGTCTTAACAAGGGGAAATGCAAACAGGGAGCAGCACTTAGGAAAGTTGAGGGGTTTGGGCTCTGAAATTCTGGGGGGAAATAGAAGCCAGTCAACCAGTCTGGTCACAATGCTGGTATCTAGAACCGTGCCTGGTACACAGGAGGCACTCACCCGGTCACAATGCTGGTATCTAGAACCGTGCCTGGTACACCGAGACCTTGTTAAATAACCAAGCGCCTGTATTCTACGTTGTTGCAGGGGAGCCCTGCCCAGAGAACGGGAGGAGTCCAGGCTCCGTATCAACCCACCACAGCTCTCCACGCAGTGACTACGCCACCTACACCAACAGCAACCACGCTGCCCCCAGTGGCAGCGCCTCTCCCCCGGAAGGCTTCGCTTCCCACAGCCTGCAGACCAGCGACGTGGTCATTCACCGGAAAGAGAACGAAGGCTTCGGCTTCGTCATCATCAGCTCCCTGAACAGGCCTGAGTCCGGATCCACTATAAGTAAGTGGCTGCTTCGCCTGCCTTTGAAGGAGAGATTTGTTGTCTTTTGTTCTGGTGGGGGGGATGCTGACAAGCAGGTGGGAGGACTGGGGGAGGCATACCACGGCGCCGGGAAGGCACAGGCTGTGGGCACACAGAAGGCATCCTGCACACTGATTAGCCAAATGTTGCTGACCTTTGGCTCAGGACAATCCAACACTCCCATAAAAGCTCCTCCCTCATTTTGAACTGGAAAGAAAATAAAACAGAGTGAAGTGGGAGTGTTGATGTGAGGGGAGGGGTGCGCCTACATTTTGAACTGGAAAGAAAATAAAACAGAGTGAAGTGTGAGGGGAGGGGTGCGCCTGTGCGATAGGATGAAACCAGGTTGGCAGAGGATCAGGGAGAGCAGTCTAAGCAGAAGCCCTGAGGTGGGAAGGAGCTCAGCATTGAAGAAACACACAGAAGCCCGGTGGCTGTGGCAGGGTGGACAGGGAGGGGGCAGGAGACCAGAGCGCTGGGTAGGAGCCAGGGTGCGAGGCTTCATATGCCCATGGGCAGAAGTCTGGATTGTGGTCTAAATCATTGGGGCCACTGGAGGGTTTTAATCAATGGACAGAAATCTGACTTACGTTTTTTAAAGATGAGCCCAGCTGCTTGTGGAAAATGAAATTGTGGGAAGGGAGCAACAGTGGGAGTACATGCCCTGGCCGGTGTGGCTCAGTTGGTTGGGTATCACCCCATGCACCACGAGGTTGCAATTGGATTCCAAGTCAGGGCACATGCCTGGGTTGTAGGCTTGATCCCCAGTACGGGGTGTGCAAGAGGCAGCCGATTGATGGTTCTCTCTCATCAATGTTCCTCTCTCTTTCCTCCTCTCTCTCTTAAATAAATAAAAACATATTTTTAAAAAAGGAGTGGAAGTACAAAGCCATTGGGAGCCATTAAAACAACCCTGTAGGTCCTGTAGTGGCGCCTTCCCCTTGGGTAGTAGCAGCACGGGCGGGAGAAATGGAAGACTTCACCTCCTCGGGCTCCTTCAAATCTAAGGTTCCATAATTCTGCACAACAGGTGACAACCACAGGTCATATTTTTCTTCCAGTCAATCATCTCTGTAGATACAAAGGCGTTCTTGAAGGTTTTCCTTTCAGCAGTCCTACCCAGAGGTTCCTCAGCAGCCAGGACAGAGAGGCGATGGGAACACTTGTGCGTTTATAATGCTGAGGTCATTTAGCCCAGAATGTTGTGGATAAAAACACCAGAATAGAGAGCAGTAAGAGAAAAAATAATTGAGTCATGTCGTGCCTAAAATTCTTATAAATTATGGTTGTTTCCAGCACATGGTTGGGGAGAGAGGTGTGAGCGTTAAACAATACTCAAGAAATCAAAGCATTAGAAGGAATAAGAACTTTTTATGATAAACTTAATGTTATCAAAACACCGCCAGAACTAAATGGAGAGAATTGCCCTGATTAGCTTCAGCTTTGACAAACTCAAGAGTGAAAACTAGAGAAGCATTAAGCCTCGGTGAGTATGTGCAGAAGCTAAATGACATCCATGTGAAAGTGCAGTTTCATTTCTCTTTTTCTTCGTGATAAGCTGAAGAAATAAATTCAACCTTAATGCGTAGAGCAAAAGCAGAATTCTGTCAGTAGGATGGCTTCACCGAGATTAAAAGGACACAAGACTAAAGATTTTCATAAATTATATAAACAGTCTTCCAATAATTTATACTTGGAGGAAATGTTTACAGAGAACTTTTGTAACTATTCCAGTCATTTATATAACTTATTGAAGAAGGATATGTAAAGAGGTGGAATAAAAATAAGTGTACCGCTGCAATGAAATTGTTAAGCATATTCGTAGGGTCTCAGCTTTATTTGAAGTGTGACAGTATTGTAGCTGAATGTATAGGGGAGAGAGAGGGAGAGAGAGAGAGAGAGAGAGAGAGAGAGAGAGAGAGAGAGAGAGTACACGCATGCACTTATTTCATAAAGAATCCACAAATGCTTTTTCTATTGCAAATAAAATTCATACATAGGTAGATTTGGAAAACAACAGGTACAAATGCTTACAATCAACATGTGAATTTTTCCTTCCGACCAAGTGACATTATACCTCAAAAGAATAATTCTAACCATTTTCAAAATGGCATTATTTTACATCACCCTGGAGAGTGGAAATATTTTCTGGAGTTCATGATGCCTCCTGGCTTCTTTTTTCTCATATTTATTTCTTTTCAATGTAAGGAGTGTGAAAGGCAGGTTGCCCCATGTTCTGTGGGAAGAGCACTGATTACACTGATGGCGGGTGGCATTTACAGAACATAATTAGCCACATGCACCTAAAAGGTTCTTGGACCCGATGCTGTTTCATACTTCTGCAATGATTTTTGAACTTGTAATTTTGAAAAGAAGTGCTAAGTGCCTCCTGAATGGAAAGGGGCCTTCCTTGTGCCGCCTCTCCATCGGTGACGCTATCAGGTTCTCAGGAGTCACGGTCATTCTCAGGGTTTGTGTCATTTTCCTCTCCGCGTCTTCCCTGAGCCCAAGGATCCTGAACACACATGATTTTTCTCACGGCTGCTGAAGCCTTTCCATTGGCAGGCAGAATGCTGTTATGCCTTCAGTGAGCACGCCATCACCTTTAGGCAAGGGAGTGGTGCGGTTAACAGCCAGGAGCTACAATCATGCTGCCTGGATGTGAAACCTGGCTCGTCATCCCTCAGCTGTGTGGCCTTGAGGAAGATCCATGAGCTCTTTGGGCCTCAGTTTCCTCAGTTGTAAACAGAGAATGACTTTAATACCTGTGCCATGGGGTCGCTGTGAGGGTACATGAGAGTGCCTAGAATATTCGAGGCACCAAATATGTTGTTGTGCTCTCCTGATCATCATCCCTGCTGTGGATTGTCTTCCCATCCCTTCAGCTTACTCGTCTTAGATAGCACAGCAAGTGAGAGCCCAGAGCAGCGAAATCTGGGCAGCAGATGAACAGCCCTGAAAGCCAGCTCCCCCTCCCCAGATGCCGGCCTTCTGGGAGCGCGGTCTTCCCCAACCCCCACCCCCCTGCCTCCCAGGTCAGCCGTGGGGACAGAACAGTGGCAGCCTAGCCAGTCCTGCTGAAGCTGCCCTTGCTGAGGGCTGGAAGTCTCCCCAGAATTCACTAGGTAATCAACTACCAAAGTCATGGGAAACATCAAAATTCAAGCTCAAAGCTGTGCCTATGAGAATGTTCCTGCAAACACAACACCGCTATTGAAGATATCAGAGAGGTGAGATGAAGAGCCCGAATGTAAACCTCCCGCCCTGCACACAGAGAATCACCTGCCATAGCTTCCTCGGCACAGGGGCCAGCTCTGCCGGCGATGCCAGATGTTTAACAAATTGAGAACTTGGGAGGTGAGATTTTGGGTTTCCTATCGCCTGCCATTTCGTAGGGCTCTTTACCAAAGCCTCACTTTTTTCCCCAAAAAAATATTCTTTTTCCAGAAAATAAAGAGGAAATTTTCTTTAATCAATTAATGTAATTAAAGAGCACACTACCCTCCAAAGCCAGTGACTCAGGAGGCCAATTATTGTCGGGAGCAGAAAGATTTCTACCCCAGGTGCAGGAATATCCGTCTTGATTTAAAGTGAGAATAGGCAAGCTTCCTGAGCGTTTTTGTCCCATTATCCAAAATATTAAATATTTTTTCAGACCTTAAAATTGGACCCACGGGAAAACAAAGTGGTTTGCAGAATAGAGCCTAGGATAAGAGTAAACTGTAACAGGAAACTGCATTTTTTGATTCTTAAAAAGATTCAAACAAAGATGTCCATTGCCATATTATTGGTAAACAGAATATTGGAAGCCATGTTGGAAGCTTCTCAAAACCTAGACACTTTGGCATATTTAGAAAGTGTTGTCACTCTCACAAAGGTCTCTGTACACAGGATAGAAGGCTCGGGTAGCCTTCTGAATCCCAGTGGGTCGAATGCCTGCTCTATAAAAAATGTCCCTGTGGCCATGGCAGTGGGGTTGTTGGTCTTTGGGTATCCCCAGCTCAAGGCTGAGTTCTGACATTTAGGTTTTATTGCACAGTTGTAACCTGATCCTTACAGGTACTTCCTGCTCTCCCCCACCCCCCACCAGATGTTCCCAAGAAGCACTTTGGCACAAATGATGACATAAAAGTGACACTTAGTCGCCTGCTTTTCTGTAATTTGTCAGGAAGGTTATGTTGAAATGTATGGGGTAGACATACATGGGCAGCTTGGACACACGCAGTGGAGACTGGCGCCTGTGAGGGAATTTATACCCGTAGATGCAGGCTCACAACAAGCGCTGTGAGGTAGAACATATTCAGGCCGCAATCTCAGCAGTCAGCAATAGCGGAGCAATCACGTCAACCCTTCCTTCCTTCATTCCTATTGTCCTAACAGCATTGACTCCGTTTCTGTGTCTTTATTGTAAACACATCACTGGCCAGCACGCTGCTGGCTTCTGACAATCTTCCAGCTCCGTGCTGGCGCTGCAAATCTTTGTTTCCATGTGTGTACTGTCTTTGACAAAGATTGGAGCACAGACTTGGTCATTGCTGACTTTTTGAAGGGCCCACGGCAATCCAGTGTTCTAGGAGAGAGTTCATCATCTTTGGTAAAATGCCCTGATGACTCTCTCAAAGTCCTTGGTGATGTCCATAGGCTCTGGAGGTTCAAAGTTATTCTAGAAATTCAAAAGTGTAGTTAGCAGGTCTTTTATGACCTTTTAAGAAAGGATGAAGTAAAACTGAACAAGGAGTGAAGCAGATGAAGATTTTTTTTCTCACCAAAACTCCTATCACCAACCATTCAGCCAATGAAAAGTCACTTAAACTTAGGGGAGGTACGAATTAAAACCAAAGCGAGCTTTTCTATAGTCGACCTAATACAGGAGCTATAAACTAAATAGAAGTGCATTGGATAACAAGCCCACTTCACTCACTGTGGTGTCCCTGAGCAAGTCACTTGGTCTTCCTGTGACTTCCATCCTAAAATATAAG